AGAAGGAAAAACCACACCCATGTTGCTAGACAAAGATTAATTGGATTGATGCATTACCTCTTGCACTAATGAGCTATCACATGCAAACTAACAGGAGCACGCACTTAACACCGCATGAAATGCTTACAGGTTGACCCATGCTGTGCTATATGGTAGAGGTTCCTACAAAGGACCGCCTCTAGAGCAATTACAAATGGAACTTCGATCATATATGAAGAAATTAATTGATTAACCATACATAGAGCTGTCTATTTACAGGAAAAAAAGAAAATGGAATGAGCCCAGGAGAAAAGGGACCCTATGAAGTGATGAGAGCTACTCCAGCAGCAGTCAAAGTGGGGGGAAACACAACCTGGCATCATCTGGACCACTGTGCTAAAGTTCCCACGGAAAAGACGGGGGGAAAAAAAGACAAGAAAACAATGCAGGATATTCTATGTGTGATGTTTTGAATGTGTTTTTATTTTTTTTATACATAACTGTGACAACCACAGACAAGCGCTGAACCAATTGCACGCTCATGCTTATAACATTGTTTTCTATTAAAGTAAGAAATTATCTAGAGCATGTATGATGTTTTGAATGTGTTTTTATGTTTTTTATACATAACTGTGACAACCACAGGCAAGCGCTGAGCCAGTTGCACGCTCATGCTTATAACATTGTTTTCTATAGAAGTAGAAATTATGGAGACTGGATCTTTTACTCCCTCCTAGTCAAGGGTGGGGGGAGAGGTTTGGTCCTGATGCTCCAAACCAGAGTGATGCTGCATCATTTAGTCATTGGTAATAAAACAGAGTGACTAATATAGTCACTAAGTAGTGTTAACTAATACGCCTGAATTATGAAGTAACACTCTGGGCCAGTTATACTTCCATTATAATCCCATATGCCTGTGTGTAAAAACAAGCCTACGTGGCAGAAAGTACAGACCTCAGATGAGAAACATCTGGAAAACATAAGTGGGGGCTTTCTTTCTTTACCATAACAAGACTAGAGAGGGGGGGCCTTCTCTCTAGGGAGAATTGTATGCACAAAGGAACCATATGTATGGGATATAAACCCCACGCCTTAAAATCCAACCTGTATAAAAGGGGAGACAAAAAGACATTCTGGAGATGTTTTCTGCAGAGAACATCTCCACTTTATACTTGATGATGTAATAACGTGTGTATCTTCTGGCATCAAAAACCCAAGACTGAGTGTGGTTTCTCAGAGCAGCTGCTGAAGACACTACACTATCTGTCTGTTTTTTGTTTTTTTTTCTGGTAGACTGTAAAAAAAAAAAAAAAAAAAACATCAAACTTTCAGGCTATGCTTTCTCAAGCCAAACCAACCTAAATTTTCACTTGACAAACTTTTTTAATTTTACTTTTTTTAATTTTACTTTTCAGTCTGAGTTAAACCTTTTTTTTGGCTCATTTTATCAGTAAAAAAAAAAAAAAGACTAGAAAATCAACTTGCCTAATAATTATGCACACAGTATAGTTGATGGTAATGTTAATTATAAATTAAATCTCTTAGGTACTTTACAGACAAAGCAAATAACACACTTTTCCTAACACCATCCTATAATATATTTTAAAATACATTTAAAATCTTCTCCTTGTATGGCTCTTTTGCCTTTCTTCAAAATGATTTAATGTTGTTTTAATATTGTTTGTTCTTTTATGTAAATTAGGTGTCGTGAACTGGAGTGCATTTTCTGCACGATACAGAGAGAAGTTCCGGGTGCCATATTCACTGACCCAGTGCCTACGGTGCTGTGAAATATTTAAAGACTGCCCACCTGGCTATGGTGGGAATGGCAGGAAGGGAGTCCTGCGTGGGTTTTATTCCTTCAAAGACTTTAAGGGCTACTGCTCAGTTGATTGTTTTATTAATGATGGAGGTGAATTTCTATATATATACAATTTTATTTTCTGTTTTGTTCTTTGCAATAAAAAAAAAAAGATCACTGTTATCAGTTTGGTTTTTGGAGGCACCATGCATAAAATGGAATGCAGACTGAAAATATACAGCATGTAGTCAATTTAACTTAAAAATACTTTATTGGCTTAAATATTTCACATGCAGAATTGCCAAAGTAACAGAAACATGTCTATAATTATACTAAATAAATAAACAAGAACCATGACAGAGGAAAGATTAAAATAAGAAATATATAAGGTTCCATTAAAGTGTAGAGTAATGTTACAATATACACAGTAAAGTATAGTGCAACAGAATGTTAATAAATTCTAAATAAAATACTACAGATATTACAGAATAAACTCTGTAATTCCGTATAATTTTACCTCAGATGATACATGATTAAAATCCTAGATATGTGCTGTACTACATTTTACTGTTTTTTTTTCTTCTTTTTTTCACCTTAGCGTTTTTTTTTAATACTTATACATTTTATCAGAGTATTCTGTTAAGTATGCGCATGCGTTTTAATGACGTGTTACGTCACCACGCAATGCAAATTACACACGCAT